GAATGACTCTATTCCCTTTCTTTGATTGTTTTGTCTGCATATTTCCTCCTAAGAGTTTACAAAACAGCACCCTTGAACAGTAAGATAAGAAGCACACCTATTTGCTTAATAACATCAAGGGGGAAAACTGCTAGCTCATCCATTTTGTTGTAAAGTTGCTCAAAAGGATCAAAATACCAATTAACTTGCTGGCTCAGAAAATCTTTGATACCCTCAGACATACTGACATTTTGAAACTACTGTTCATACTTGCCTAATGGCTTTCTGATTATGAACAAAGGCATGCCAATCTGTTTAGCATTTGACCTGTTTTCTTAAATATTTTTATGTATTCAACACAAAGTTGCTAAAAATACTTGACTAGTCACATTCATGAGCTAAAGTAATCTTTTTTCTTGTTCCACCTCCAAATCTAAGAGAGAAAAATGAAGCTTGAAGACACTTCTTTTGAAAAAGCCATTTCCTGGTTATTTTTCATTTAAAAACTCTCTTTACATGATTCCCTCCCTTACCTTTTCTGCTCTATAGAATTTAGTGACTTTGGAAGACTAGGTGAAAAAAAATGACCACACTTAGGATCTACTGTTCTTTGAGAAAACAATGGGAAAGATGACCTTTGGCATAAATTACAGAATGGAGATTAAAAGAAACTCAAGATGTCTGATGAGTAAGGCAGATTTTGTGATGGGTTTTAACTTTCCCTCTGGAGATTCGCAGACAGTGGTGCTTCCCAGAGCAGTTTTTTTGTGTGTGTGTGTGGTTTGTGTTTTGTTTTTTTTTTTGTTATCATTGTCCCCGCTTCTTTGGAAATTCTACCTGTGATCTTATGTGCATACAAGGCACCCCTAAGGCAGTCATGCAGGAAACAGCAGCATTTCATTTATGGTAAGAAAGAGTTTCTGGGTTTAGAAGACTTCATGACAATTTATTTCAGTAAGTATAATTTAATGCCTATTACAGAGTAGTAAGCTGAGGATGTTATTTCTGTTAAATATGTAGAGTTGCTTGTGACTCATAGAGACCCTGTGTACAACAGCTCTGAACCCTGCTCTATCCTGAGCCAACCTCATTTTCTCCAATGCACCCACCTTCATTACCTCGGTCACTGAGTCAATCCATCTCACCCAGGGTCTTCCTCTCTTGCACTATCTCTCTACCCGTCCAAGCAAAGTATGGCCATTGATTGCCAGATTGCCTCAGTTCATATCCTGGCTTTTTCATCTAGCATATACCATTGTTGTTGTTGTTGTTGTTATGTGCTGTCGAGTCACCTGCGACTCACAGCGACCCTATGTACAACAGCCCTAAACTCC